CATCAATGAAGTAATTAAATTCACTGTGATTCTTTCTCCCCCTTTTCTTTCTTATGCTAACTGACAAATTCGTCACTTCTTTCACACTGTAAAGAGAGATCCATGGATTCAGATTATGACAAAAACATGTCCAGATGTGAAATATCCTGTAGGCAGTATTAATTTTTTCATAAAATGAAACAGCAAGCATATTTTATAAAGAAAGGAAGCAAAATCTATATTTTAAATTTTAATTTTAATATTAAATACTATTTTTAAATACTAATAATTCGTTAGATTTAAAATTAAATACTGAATGCATAACAACTTCAAATAATTAAGCCCTAAAGAACCTTAAATCAATGTGGGGAGGAGTGAATTCTGGAAACCTTTAAAAAAATGTTTTTTTCATTCAAAAAGAGTGGTACTTGAAGTTCACTATGAAAGCCCAAGTAAATGGAATTGAAATTTACTGTAATTTTTTTAAGTACTTATATTCAAGAGGAAGTACAGTGCCTAAAGGTTGGACTAACAAATGGAATATATTCTCTCTCTTAATGCTTGCATTCCTTTTTAAATGCTTCACAAATGTATAATTTCCAAAGACATGAGACCTGTCTAGCACAGAGTGTCCTGAGAGGGTACTAAATGTATACAGAAAGAGATGAGACTTGGGGAGAGAGCATTATTTAACAAATGTGGTTTCTACTCAGTTTTAGAAATATCACAACATCAGACCCAATCTCCCTGTCTTAAAATGGTGAAATGTTGTTCAATATTATAGCAAAAGAGAAAATCATGCAATTTGAAAATTAATATTAACATACTGGTAGTATGGAATAGTCAGAAAGGAACCTGATACTATATACCCTTTAAAAACCAGCAAATACTATAAATAACTTTATGTCCAACTCAGAAGTGAATACTAAAATTTGAGAATAGGAATTCTTAAAATATCTTGAAGCCTTTGCTGCCAAACCCCACTTTCTGCTTAGGTGAGAAGGAAACTGTTACCCTCAGCTATAAACCTCTGATGGCTCTCAGAAGTAACTTGTAGTCTTAACAGCAACACTCTCAAACGTCCATTTCCAGTCATTAATCATAAGAAATTGGGGGAAATCAGAGAAACTTCATTCCAGGAAATATAAATATATACCAATGATTTGGGCAAATTCAAAAGTGGAAATTCAAAAATGCAAGCATAACCTGGCAATTTAGACTTGACTTATGAATAGGCTATAAAGTAATTATGAATGAGTATAAAAGCAGAGAAAAAACATGTTAGGGGAAGCCCTATTCTCGTCCACAGGAATGTGATTAATATCATGTTATTTATCATCATCACTAGATAAATCACAAGAGATATTAGAAAACATTTCAAGCCACTGAATAATAATAAAAACATATTTAAACAGACATTATACAATCCATGAATGTCCAATAAGCACATGAAGAAGTGTTCAGTATCATTAGTCATCAAGGAAATGCAAATTAAAACAACCAGATACTATTAAAACCTACTAGAACAGCTGCAATTAAAAAGACTGACAACAATAAATGCTGATGAGGATGTGGAGCAACCAGAATTCTCATACATTGTTGGTCAGAGTGCAAAACGATACAGTTGCTTGGGGAAAAGGCCTGGCAGTTTCTTATGAAATAAAAGATAAACCGTCTCAAGTGACCAGCAATTCTTCTCCTAGGTATTTACCCAAGAAAATGAAAAGATGTTTCCACAAAAAGACTTGAACAAGAATGTTCACAGCGTTTTTACTCATAATTACCAAAACCTGGAACCAGACCAGTTGTCTTTTAATAGAATGGATAAACAAACTGTGGTATAGTCATACAATGGAATACTACTCAGCAATAAAAAGAAATTATCAATACATGCAACAACATGGATGAATCAAAAAAACACTATATTGAAAGAAAGGAGACGTATTAATGGGTATATATGAAATTCTATAACCAATACTAATCTGTGATGGATGGGAAAAAAAGCAACAGATCACTGCTGCCTCTGCAGAGGATATGGACTTACTGATATGAGGCATGACGGAACTTTCTAGGGTGATGGTAATATTCTCTATTGTGAAAGGGGTTTGGGTTGCACATGTGTGCATTTATGTCTTTCACTGTACGTAAAATTTGCCTCAAAGGAAAAAACATAAACAAGCACTGAGCTCCAGTTAATGATTTGTGTGGTGAACTGTCTGATGCTGCAAATTACTCTGATATATATTACAACATATAATGGACTGATGGACAATTTGAAGTGAGATAAAGCAAATACTCTAAAATGTTAATTGTGGTTGAGGATTCACTGCAAGATTCTTTAAAATTTCCTGTGTTTAAAATTCTTCCTATAAAATCTAGAGGGGAAAGGTTATTATGAGTACCTTGCAAAATATTAAAACAATGGTGACACAATAAATATGTTTTCCTTCCATTTCTGACTGCATTCTTCCAGTTTTCTTCAGAGGCCAGTACCATTACTAGTATCTCATGTGTCTTTCCATAGATAGTCTTTGCATATAGATAGAGGGATAGAGAGAGTTACCTCTGCATTATTTCTTTTTTTTTAATGTTTTTATTAACATTTCTTATTAAACCATAAGAGAAAAGAACACCTGAATAGAAAACAGACAAAGGACATCAACAAACCATATATAAAATGAATAAATGAATGAATGTGAACAAATGAATAAAATTAACATTTAATTTATGCCAGAAATATTCTTTTTTTGTTAACATCTTTATTGACATATAATTCATATACCATAAAATTCACCCATTTAAAGTATACAATTCAATGGTTTTTTAGTATGTTCACAGAGTCATACAACCATCACCACAATCAATTTTAGAACATGTTCATCACCCTATGAAAGAAACCCTGTACCCTTTAGCCATTATCTTCAGCCCCCACTAGCTCCCCAACCCCACACAACCACTAATCTACTTGTCTCTATAGACTTGCCTATTCTGGACATATCATTAAATGGAATGATACAAATATGTGACCTTTTGTGGCTGGTTTCTTTCACTTAGCATAATGCTCTCAAGGTTCATCTGTGGTGTTGCATGCATCAGTACTTCACTTCTTCTTATGGCCAAATAATATTCCATTTTATGGATATATACCACATTTTGTATATATAACCATTCACCAGCTGATAGATATCTGGATTGCTGAGAGTTTTGGTCTATTATGACTAATGCTGCTATAAATATTCATGTACAAATTTTTATGTGAACATACATTTCATTTCTCTTAGGTACATACCTAGGCGTGGAATTGCTGAATCAAAACATAACCCATGTTTATTTACAGAATGGTCAGACTATTTTGTAAAGTATCTGCACCATTTTACATTCCCACTAGTAGTGCATGAGGGTTCTGCTTCCTCTGCATCCTCACCAACCTTTGTTATTACCTTTTTTTATTATAGCCTCCTAGTGTGCATGAGAAGTGATACCTAATTATGGTTTTGATTTTCATTTCCCTGATGACTAATGATGTTGAGCATCTTTTCATGTAGTATTTATTGTCCATTTGTATCTTCTTGGAAGAAATGTCCATTCAGATCCTTTCCCCATGCTTTAATTAGGTTGCCTTCTTATTACTGAGTTTAAGAGTTCTTTATTCTAGATACAAGTCCCTTATCAGATACACAATATTTTCTCCCATTCTGTGAGCTGTCCTTTCACTTTCTTGATAGCATCCTTTGAAGTGCAAAAGTTTACAGTTTTGAGTAAGTCCAAATTATCTTTTTTTTCTTTATTTACACTTTTGGTTTCATATCTAGGATATTATTTCCTAGTCTAAGATTTAGTATTGCCTAATCCTTAGTATTGCCTAATCCTATGTTTTCTTCTAGGAGTTTTATAACTTTAGATCTTATATTCAGGTCTATGATCCATTTTGAGTTAATTTACATATATGGTATGAGGTAAGGGCCCAACTTCATTCTTCTGCATGTGGATACCTAGCTGTCCCAGCAGTATTTGTTGAAAAGACTTTTCTTTCCCCTATTGAATAGTCTTGCTACTCTTGCTGAAAAACTGATTGACCATAGATATATATGTCTATTTCTGGACTCTCAATTCTATTTCATCTATCCTTATGCCAGTACAACACTTTCTTGATTACTGTTGCTTTAAAGTAAGTTTTGATGCATTTTCTTACAGTTTTTTCCACTGAATATAGTCTTATAAACACTTAAGTTTTCATACACTATATCAATATAACAATGAAGATCTTTTTTAATATACACACTTATTTACACACATGTGAAAAAACAGTATCTAGAGGTGGTCAAAAGGGTTGTGCCTTTAAAATTTTGATAGACATTGACTATTTGCCCTTCAAAAAGTTTATACCAATTTATACCCCCGCCAACAACATACAAAAAAGCCTATTTACTCTGCATCTTCTGCAATGCAGTGTATTTCCAAACTTTTAAATCCTTAACCAATGTTATTTTTCTCATTTTTAAAATCTTTTCTGTTGTGACAAATCCACTTTGGCTAATAAATACATTTAAAAAAACCCGTTTAATTACTAATAAAATGTTTCTACCAGCAACATTCCATTTTTTGGAATTTACCTTAAGTTACTAGTTTAAAGAGGAAAAAGAGATGTTCAAAGAGCTATTTGTAATACAGAAAAAAAAGATTGCATAGTAGATGCTGATCAACAGAAAAATGATTAATTAAAATATGTTATGTTCACTAAATAGTATATCCAACTATTAAAGACTATAAACATGATGTCTGTAGCCATATAAAAATACTTTAATCTAATTTTTAAAAGCAGGATACAAAATTATATGTACACTCTGTACACTGATTATAACTACTTTAAAATTACACAGGCATACGGAAATGGAAATACATAAATGACTACGGATAACTTTCCTCTTTAATTTCTAAGCTTCCTGTAACTTTTTAGAATTAAGTTCGTAATTAGGCAATATGTTCACAAATACATTACTTTACATTAAAAATATACTTACTGTGATGATGCCAATTAGTTGAGTATAAAAGAGTCCAGTTATTCCAACTAACATTGTAATGCCCATAAAGGCAGCTAGTCTCATTATGGCCAATTCATGTCTAACAACAAAGAGGTCCTATAAGAAGAAAAAGAAAATCTTAAAAACAATTCAAAAATTACTTACAGTTGCAATAATAAAGAATTGAGCCATGACATTTTCCCTTATTATCTTAAAACAACTACTCTCCCCATTTTTTAGTTTATTCCACTTCATAAACATATAATATTTGAAAATTTCAAAAATAATTGTTTTTAACTCATAGTAGCAAGCTGAAAAATGGGATTTTACTACTCAATTGTCATAAAAACTCCTAATCCTAAAGTTGCAAATTAGCCATGCTCATTTACTATTTGGAGCAAAAACAAAACAGAAAACCCTCCAAAAATCAAAAAACAAAAACAAAACAGATGGTGTACAATCTCTGGTTCAACAAAAGGAAATTTTATTATGGTACTGCTAAAAAGCTTGAAAGCACAAATCTGATTCATAATATTAAAGTTCAAGTGGCCAAGATACCTAGAGATTATGTATTTTAGTCAAAATGAGGGGGTAACACAAATAATAGGATCACATGAACAGCCCTCTGCAAGACCAACTCATTCATTCATCCATCCACTCACTCAACTACCACTGCCAAGCACTGAGCTATGTAGTAGAAATGTAAAAAGGATAAAGATATGGTCTGTGCCCTCAAGAAGTATGCAGTTTATTCAGAGAGAGAGCCCAACTCTGCAAAACTCCAAAACAATGTGATATATACTTTAACAGGAATGTGTGCACAGAGGACAGTAGAAACATAAAGGAATGCCTAGACAGGAGAGAGAAATGGAAACGCTGTGAGGGAAAACTGATTTTCCAGCCCAGGGCATGAAAATGAGGGTCTTGAAAGTGATCCAAAGAAACTGTGGCAGGAGGTCAGGAAAACCAGGAGAAGCCATTTCATTTACCCCCACTGTTCTTTCACTCTCTCTCCCTTGTCTGGCCAGACCATTCCAGTCGAGGGAGAGAGAGTGAAAGAACAAAGACTTCTGGAAACCTGTAGTTACTAAGCTTTGGAATAAAATAGCCACAGTGGATAAAAAGCAACAAACGAATGGGAAGGACCCCAAAACATAACCACGCACATGCTCTTTTAATACTGATTCAGGTTAAGGCTTAAAGGTACCCTGGTAGCAATACCAGAAACAGGGGGGTCACCGAACATAATGATCTTGTTTGAAACAAAAGAACTGATGCTTTTCTGTGTGGCACAGTGATCATCCATCTGACTTAAGCAAAACTCTGAGTCCACACCCAAACCACTCAGTTTATTAGCCAGGGAAAACTTAAAATTCACCAAGATACTTAAGGTGTTATGTAACAGTTACATATTAGTTTTGACTATTTCAAAATTTCACTAAAAAGAGCCTAATGCAAAATCCTTACCAAACATGTAAAGAGGAAAAGATGGGGCTATGAATGATATTAAAAATTCAGTACAGTAAACTCTGCTATTATGCTGTATGAAAACACAAATATGTTCCAACATGATTGATACATTAAGCAACAACTTGAGCATAGCAAGACTCTTGTGTTTGTTTATGTGTGATTTTATCTGCAAGAAACCCAAGATGAACAGTAAAAACTTCACCCAGCTAAACCAAGCTATACAGGAATACACAAAACACACCCCCCCAAACATCTACCGGCTAACTCAATTTGTCATGTGTGTTATGAGCCACAATCATCCGTACCTGGTATCACAATTTTCCCTCCAATTTCATATGACTCTCCTTCCATCACTTGGTAATAACTCACATAACGCAACCCTTCTGATGCCCACTTCCACAAGAAAATTTCACGTCTCTTCTAAGGTAAAGTGCAATGTTTGTTATAGTATTTACGTATTTCTTAACTAGTTAACATGTATAAAACTGTGCTGCTATTTTTATTAGGAACCCTTTTAAGTGTCACTGACAAAGTTTTTGAGTGTTGTGTCTTCATTTTCCCATAAGTCCTATGGTTTTCATTGCATGATTTTGCACAGCGGGGCAAATTTTAGGAATGAACATACTGTGTCATAGTAGAGCTTACCCTAATAAAAATACACATGGTCCCCAATTTACAACGGTTCACCTTACAATTTTCCGACTTTTAAGATGGTGCAACTTTGGATATTTTCAACTTAGAATGGGTTTATCAGGACGTACTCCACTGTAAGTCAAGGAAGATCTGTGCCATATATGACCAAATAAAATGCATCCTCTTTTCTCCCAGTGAAAAGATTAAAAAACTTTTTTGTCCACTAGAATTTATACATGTTAGGGATGAAGATGAGACTAAAAGATCTACTTAAAATTACATTTATTCACTTAGGTATACATTTATGTTAGAGAGTACTTGTGTAAAATAGTAAATTGATTCAGAAATTGCTTTTTATCACTCTTACATTTTCAAAAAATGCATCCCAACTTTACACACACATAATTAACATCAGTACTAAATCCATATTTTGAGTCATTTAACATACTTCTCCAGAGCACAACATCTTTACTTCTATCTTAGATTTTTTGTTTTTAGATCTAGCACTTTTTGAATCCAAAAATTGGCTTGGGAAATTTTATCTACATCACAAGCATCCATTTGCTATTCAAATCTTTATGACATAATCAGTGTTATTATGGCTGAATTGTGTCTCTCCAGAAATTCGTATGTGGAAGCCCTAACCCCTCACCCCAGCACTTCAGAATGTGAGAGTATTTGGAGAGAGGGCCTTTAAAGAGGAGATCAAGAAAAATGGGGCCCTTAGGGTGGACATTAATCCAATCTGACTGGTATCCTTATAAGAAAAGGAAACTCAGAAACACAAAGCGACACCACGGATGCTCAAGCACATGCGAAGACACAGCAACAAGGTGCCATATGCAAGCCAGGAGAGAAGCCTCCAGAGAAACCAAACCTGCCGACATCCTGATCTTAGACTTCCAGCCTCCAGAACTGTGAGAAAATGAGTTTCTGTTGTTTATGCCCCCAGTCTGTGGTATTTTATGTCGCCCTAGAAAACTAATACAGTAACTGTATTTCTTTATCGTTTTCATTCCTTTCCATTTTTTGGTTAAGAAACGTGCTTATATAGAGAGAAATACATAAAACATAAGTTCAGTTTAGAGAAAAGAATGCAAACATTTGAAAACATGCAGGCGCTTTCCTCAGTGCATTTCTTCCCCATCACATCCTCTCCCGCATCCCTACCTTAAAGAGAAAGGTTACTGATTCGTTCTTCAGACATCTTCGATACTACATTTCAGTCGCATATTACAAATATCTTTTCCTACTCTGAGTCTACTTTTTCATTCTCTTTATGGCATCTTTGGATAATCCCAAATTCTTAATTTTAATGTAGTCCAATTTATCTTTTCTTTTATTGCTTTTTATTTCCTGTTTAAGAAATCTTTCCCAACCCTGACGTAGTGATGACATTCTCCTATATTACCTTCTAAAGCCTTTAAAAGCTTTATAGCTTTGCCTTTCACATTTAGGTCACTAATCCACCTGGAATTGATTGTGCACTGTGAAATACAGGGTTCTGAATTTACTTTTACTATATGAATACTCAATTGTCCCGGGACGGTTTATTTAAAAAGCTGTCCTTTCCTCAGGGATCAGAGGTCAAGTGTCCATACGTGCCTGAGTCTGATGTGGGCTCTCTATCCTGTTCTCTTGGTTTATTTGTTTATCCCCGTACTAGTGAGCACATCTTAGTTACTATGGCTTTGTAATAACTCTCCATACCTAGTAGGCCAACTCATCCCAACTTGTTCTTTTTCAAGAATATCTTGGTATGGGACTAAGAGACACAAACTACTAAGTATAAAACAGATAAGCAATAAAGATATATTGTACAGCACAGGGAAATACAGCCTTTGTTTTGTAATAAATTTAAATGGAGTATAATCTATAAAATATTGAATCACTATGTTTTATACCTGAAAATAACATAATATTGTAAATCAACTACACTTCAATGTAAAAAAAGGAATGTATTGGTTATTCTAGATACAGTTGACCCTTGAACAAGGCGGGGGTTAATCTGCATATATCTTATAGCAGGCCCTCAGTATCCACGGTTCCTCAGCATCAGCGGATTCAACCAACCATCGATCCTGTACTACTGGAGTATTTACTACTGAAGATATCCGCATATAAGTGGATCTGCACAGTTCAAATGTGTATTGTTCAAAGGTCAACTGTAATTTGTATTCCCATAGAAATTTTAAATTAGATTTCGAGTTACAACACACTCAGACATACACACACATATGATATATTCTCTCCACTAAGAGTCACAATTTTCCCCTAGAGGTCTTGCTTTTTAAAGTCAGATTGAATTCCTGTTTCTTGATTCTATTATAAATGGTTCTGCTGTTAATTTCATTGTCTAAAGCACCGTTTGCTAGCATACAGAAATAAAACTGATTTTTTAAAATATTGTTTTATAGTCACACTTCTTAAACTTTCTTAAAAATTCCAAAGAATCTACAGATAAGTTATTTACATGATCATACCATCTAAGAGTAATGATGGTTTTCTTCATTTCAGCAGTTATACCGTCTCTTTCTTCCTCTTGCCTCACTGCATGGACTAGAATTCCTAGCACTATATTTAATAACAATGGCAGTGGCGGCACAGCAGGCATCAACACCTTGTCCCTCAACTTGGAGGGAAAAAGGTCAACATTTCATCATTAAGCATGCTACAGCTATTGTGTTGGGTTCTGTGTGTGGTTTTTGTTTGTCTGTTTGTTTTGGAACCTTTTATCTCACTAAAAAAGTTCTCTAGTTCTAGTTTGCTAAGAGTTTATAACATGAATGGAGGCTGAATTTTATCTTTGTCCTCACACGCTAATACATACAGTCTCCATACATCTGGGTTTTTTTCCCCTAATTTGTTCCCCTAATACATACAGTCTCCATACATCTGGGGTTTTTTTCCCCTAATTTGTTAATTGATAAAAGTATACTGACGGATTTTCTAGCATAAAAACAACCTTTCATTCCTAAGATAAACTCAACTTGATCAAGCTGGTTATATATGAC